CTTTTTTCTTCTTTATATACTCTTTGGATTCTATTTGCTTTTCTTTTTCTAGCATCTTGAAAAGGAAGCCTAGAGATTACTGACTATCAGCTATTCTTTTGTAGTATAGGCACTTAAAACAATAAGTTTCCCTCTTAAGCACAGTTGCATTGCATCCCATAAGTGTTTGATATTTGTATTTTCATTATCATTCAGCTAAATCAGAAAAATTTCTAATAATTAGAAAACTTTCTAATTTTTGTGATTCATTTTATCCACCATTAGATAAAAATATGTTGCTTAATTTCCAAATATTTGAAGATATTCTGTTTATCTGCTATTTAATTTTAGCTTAAGCCCACAGTGTTTAAAGAACATATACTGATTTCAATATTTTAATATTTATTTCCACTTCTTTCATGGCCTAACCCAGGAGTTGGCAAACACAACCACAGGCCAACTCCAGTGCCCTGCCTATGGTCATGGGAGCCTAAATGGCTGGTATTTTTGCAATGGTTATATGTAGTGACACATATTAATTAAATCCAAGTGCTGAAGTATGTTGCATCTATATCCTTACCTATTTTTCAATTCTTACTTTATTAGTTACTAAAAGCTTTGTTCAAAATCTCCCATTATTTCGCCTTTTGTCTCTTTTTGTTCTCTCTGCGTGTGTGTGTACACCTGTTTTTAGGTACATAAGAATTTAGGAATATTATTATACTTTTTTTCTGTTGAACTGACCCATTCATCATAAGTGTCTGTATTTCTTCCGATAGTCCTTGCCTTAAAGAATAGTCATTTTGCCCTATCAGGCTTTTTTTTTTTTTTTTTTGGTCAGCCTATGCATAGTATGAGTTGCCATCCTACTAATTTTAACCTTTTTTGTGTTCTTACATCTAAAGTTTACCTCATATGTAAACAGCATGTAGCTATACTTCACTTAATACAGTCTGCCAATATTTAGTTCTTAAATGGAAAATTCAGGTATTCACATTTAATGTAAATTAAATTGCCATTTTTCTGTTTCTTTTCTAGTTGTCCCATTCATTCTCTGCTGCTCTATTCTTCCCTCTCATTTTCTTTTGGATTAATCAAGTATTACTTTGCTATTCCACTATAGCTTTCTAATTTTACCTTCTTTCATTGTCCTGTTGGCGGTTACCCAAGAAAGTAGAATATACAAATCTGATTTAGCAGTCTGCTTTAAATGAGTACTTTTACTACCTCCAAAAAAGTGTACAAACCATACAACAATTTAACTGTATTTATCCATTCTGGCTTTGTTCTATTGCCATATTGTTCACTTTTATGTATGTTACAAATACTACAAGACATTATTATTGTTACTTGAAACAGTCAATATTGTCTTATATTGTTACACCTTCTAGCACTCTTTACTCTGTCCATTAGTTCCATGCTTCCGAAATATGGATAATTTTCCTTTAGCCCAAAGACTTCCCCTCAGTATATCATGAAATGCAATTCTGATGGCAATAAAATCATTTAGCTTGATTTATTTCTTTGGTTTAAAGTACCTTGATTTTGTCTTCATTTGTGAAAAATGGTAAAGAATTCCAGCTAGGTTTTTTTTCTTTCAGCACTTTAAAGACATTATTCCCTTATCTTCTAGCTTTAATAATTTTGTTTAAAAGCCAACTGTCAGTCTTGCTATGATTCCTTTGAAGGAAGTATGTCCTGTCTTCTCTAACTGCATTTAAATTCTCTTTATCTTTGATTTTCAGGAACTTGACTGTACTTGGATGGGTTTTGTGTATATGTTTGTGTATGCACTTGTGTCCAACTTGTGTCCACCCTGTTGGGCTTTGTGAACTTTTTGATTCAGTGATTTAAAGTTTCTCATCAGATTTGGAAAATTCCCAATTACTTTTTTCTTTAAATATTTCTCTTGCCCTTCCCCTCTCTCTTCTTCCAGGATTCCAATTTCATAGTTGTTGGAAGTTTTGTCTGTGTCTCACATAACTCTCATGCTCTCTTTTATTCTTTTTCTGTGATTCAGTTTGGATATTTTCTGCTGACTTGCTTCTGAGTTTTCTCATTCAGACTTCTGATGTGTCCCATCTGGTTTGGAACAAATCTAATTAATTCTCAACTTCAGATATTGTATTTTGAATTTCCAGAATATCCATTTGGTTCTTTTTTTTTTTTTAACAGAAAACTGTCTATTGAATGTTTTATATTTTCATACATTCATTTACTTCTTTTAACATACATACTAGTCATTTTAAATTCCACTAATAACTTGTTGGCCAAAAGTAGTCACATGGCTCCACCTAACCACAAGTGGACCAGGAAGTGCAATCCTGTCTTGTCCGGGGAAGGTATAGAGATATACATACTTGAAGAACAGCACTAATGACTACCACACTTGGCTAAGGTCACATAAATAAGCGTTAAGAGGTCAGGTGCAGTAGCTTATGCCTGTAATCCCAGCACTTTGGGAGGCTGATGCAGGCAGATCATGTGAAGACAGCAGTTGGAAATCAGCCTGGTCAACATAGTGAAACTCGTCTCTACCAAAAATACAAAAAAAATTACCAGGCGTGATGGTGCATGTCTATAATCCCAGCTACTTGAGAAGCTGAGGCACGACAATCGCTCTCAAACCCAGGAGGCAAAGGTTGCAGTGAGCCGAGATCATGACACTGCACTCCAGCCTGGGCGACAGAGCGAGACTCTGTCTCAGAAAAAAAAAAAAGTCAGAGCTTGGATCTAAATACAGGTATTTTTGATTCCAAACATCTTTGAACTTTTATTACGTATTTTTTACTACAACAAAACCTCTTTTGGAGCTATTGTGAAACTAAACGTTTTTATAAAATTTTATATTAACCTTTGAATAATGAATATATTGAATGGGTTCTATATAAGTTCTCATATGAATTAACTGAAATAGTCTATTTAAAAAACATATTTAAATTAGGTCTAATACATACACAGAAAAGCTAAAAATATAAGTATATAATTCAATGAACTATTGCGAAGTAAACACACTTGTGTAACCATCCTCTGAGTCAAGAAACAGAACATCACCACGACCCCACAGATCCCTCTCATACTTCCTCACAATCACTACTTCCTTTTCATCCACCCAAGGTAACCACTGTCCTTACTTCTAACATACTATAGTAATTTTGTCTGTTTGGACTCACAGATAAATAGGATCAGAGAGTAAAAACGCTTGAGTCTGACTTCTTTCACGTAACATTATGTTTGTGAGATCTGTCCACACTGTAGTTTGTAACTGTAGTTGGTTTATTTTCTTTCTGTATAGTATGCTAAGAAGACACAATCATATATTCACTCCTTCTGCTCTTACTGCACATTTGGGTTGTTTGAACTTTTGGGGTATCTCTAACAATGATATACAATCTTGCACCTACTTGCACATTTTTCCTGGACACATATGCATATACCTCTTTGAAACGATTAGCCAAGGATAAGCTTAACATCTGTAGCTACTACCAAATAATTTTCAGGGGTATAATTTGCAGTCCCATCAGCAGCATATGAATATTGCAGTTTTCATTTTTCCACATCTTCTCCAACATCTAAATATAGATGAAGTTATTTCCAATGAAAATTTGGGTTGGAATTGGGTAGTGCAGTGAATGCCAAATATATAGTGAATTTGAAAGGCTTAGTTTAAAAAAAGTAAAATCTCAATTATATTTTAAGATTGAAGGCATGTTGAAATAATATTTTGGATGCACAGGGTTAAAAATTGCTAAAATAAATTTCATCTGCTTTTTCCCCCTCCTTTTTAATGTAGCTACAAGAAAATTTCGAATTATGTGTGGCTTACACAATAGTTCTATTGGATAGTGCAGCTCTAACACCATCAATACCTAAATTAGTAGAAAACTCAAAAATATGCCTCTTAAAGTATGGATATGTTGGTTGCAAAAACCAGAATACTTGTTACATAAGCTGAGTTAAGTGTGCTATTCCAGCAGAGAATATCCCAATTAGATACAGACATTGAACACTTGCTTAATTACTAGATCATTTTTTTTTTTGTAAGACAAAGCTGAATGCTAGTCAGTTTGTAATCTGTGCCTCCTAAAAGAGAAAACCTTAACCTTAACTTTAAACTACCATGCGTATTGCCTGTAGCATGCTGGAAGATTCTTTTAGTAACAAGAGATTCAACAAGTCTTCTTGGCTAGTGCTTTAAATCACATATACCCTATGTTATAAAACCAGCGAAACCAGAAAGCAAACCGTTCTCCTCACACTGCCCAAAACACCTGCTAACAGAGCGCATACTCAATATGCCAAAGCCAAAACGATGACAGAAGTTTGTTCTTTTTAGTTTAATAGAGTTAACAGGTGGTGGTTGGGTGAAGGCAGGAGAATGTCTGTTGCTGGCCTTAGGCCTAAGATAAATAAGGGAATGAGTGAATGAATAATTAAAAACGACACACACTAGTCAGTGTAACTATCTAGTAAGTTAAATACGCCATGACATCTAATGATGGCCTTGGAGACAGAGAGCAGGCTGGAGCCTAAGCATGTGACGTGATGACAGCCGAGTGGAAGGGGTTCCGTCCTGGCTATACTAGCTGAAACCCAAAGCAAATCCTGCCCCAGCACAAGGCACCCCGTTCTGCGCCTCCAGTGTGTCAGTCAGCTACGTGCATTTTCCTTCAGGATGGGCAAAAATACTTCGTCATCCTCCCACTCCCCAACAGCACAGAAGGGGCCGAAAGGCAATTACAGGCCCTTACGGAGCTGCTCCAGGGGCCGCGAGAAACTTATCAACATCCTGGAAAAGACAAACCCAGTGGGGTGCACGTGGCCTCTGACAGCGACCACCATCGCTGCACGGTGTGGCCGCCCCATCTTTCACTTTCCCATCGTTAGGAAGCAAAGCGACCCCTAAGCTTGGACAAAGCGCGCGAAAGCCCAAAGCCTGTCGCCTCCACCGGTCAGCTCCCCGCTCCGCTGCTGGACCCGACAGGTGTCGGGGAGGCGGGCCTGCCCCATAGCCGACTCACCCAGCTCCAGGGCCTGGTCGCACCTGAGCAGCGCGGCCTCGGGCTGCTGCTGGCGCTGCAGGCTCCGCGCCAGGCCCGCCAGCCTGCGCACCCTGCACTCGGCCGGGAAGCACCTCTCCAGCAGGCCGCACAGCACCACGTTCACGCGCCGCGCCTGAGGCCGCGCGGGCCCCGGCTCCACGCAGCGCTTGCAAACCGTGAGCCCGCAGGGCAGCGTCACTGGCCTGTACAGCAGCCGCCGGCAGCGCGGGCAGCCGAGTAGGTCGCGGGGAGTGCGGGGCGCCGGGGCCGGCCCTCCCTCCGCAGGCGCCTCCGGCTCGCAGCCCTGGTTCTCAGCGGACGGCGGCCGCTCGCGCAGGTCTACGGCGCGCACCAGGCCGCCCGCCAGCTCCTCTAGTTCCTCCGGCCGCAGCGCCCCGAGCCGCGCGGCGCCACGGAACGCGCCCAGGGCCTCGGGGAGGCGGCCGGCGCGGGCCAGCGCGTCCCCCAGCCTCAGGCACAGGCCGCGGTCCGGTTGCGCCAGCCCGGCCAGCAAGGAGCGGAAGAGCTCGGCTGCCATCTCGTACTCGCCCGCGCTGAAGGCCTCGTCGCCCTCCTCCCAGCGCTGGGCGATCGGCTCCGCGCGGTCGCAGCCGGGGCACTGGGGCGGCGGCGGCGGCGGGACGGGCTCGGGGCTCATCACCGCGGGGCTTCGACGACGCGAGTCCGGAGCGAAGGCGCGGAGCAGGGAGGATGCGCTGCTGCTGCCGCTGCCGCTGCCGCAAACTGGCCGGCGGGAGCGCGGTCTCAGCCTTCGCCAGCAGCCACGCGCGTCTGGGGGCGGCGCGCTGCGAGCCGCTGAAGTCGTGGGCGGGGGCGGGCGCCCGGCTCGGGCAGCGTCCTCACCGCGGCGTGGGCGGCCGGCTCCGCAGGGTCGCAAGCGCTCGGGGGCGGGAGCCTCACAGCCCCGTGGGCTGAGGTAACCCAGGTCGCTGCGGGAACACGGTGACCTCGCTCCAGCTCTGCGTCTCCTCCGATGCTTTCCCCCTCTCCTGGGGGCCCTTGCGCGATTGCACGCGCGTCCTCCGCCTCCCTGCGGAGGTGCGTGGGCCCTGTGAGCAGGTGGCTTTGGCTGCCGGCTGCTCGCGCGCGCGCACCGCGGCACCTGCGCTTTCCCGGAGGCCTGGTCTCTCCCACAACCTGTGGCTCTGCTTAAGCGAGAACCCAGGAAAAGTCACCAAAGAATCACGCGTCTCTAGCTTCGACTTAGGAAATTGTCCTAAATGACTGGGGAGGCTGAAGTGGGCACCCAGAGACCCCCGCCCTCAGCGAGCTTCTCTTAACGAAACTCTAGGCTGAGGCATTTTAGAACTCATTTTAACAGAAGAACGTGGAGGGCCAAGACAACCAGATGTCGGGAGGAGGAGGGATTTGAGAAATGGGCAATTGTATTGTGCCCTTGATTAGAAAGCAGAAATCGAATTAGAAATAGAATTCTAATTAAAAGAATTGGAATAGAAATAGAAAGTGTGCCTTAACATGGAGTACTGCAGACAGCAGTTGCTGGAGAGAGGGAGTTAAACGCTCCGTTGGTGTACAAGCAAGGATTAAATTAAAATCCTCTGTGCGCATTAACCAGGTTCAGAATTTCTCCTATGTAGCCTGTTCCCTTCTTCCTGTCGCAGTATGTTTTATCCTATATTTGAGTACATTAAAATGCATTACGATATTCTAGAATTCATACTACTATCCATATTTCAAGAAGATTTTTAAAAAAAAGATTGGAGAGGATTTTCTACATCTAAAACTACTGGCTAAAGAAAATATAAAATACCCCGACCGCATCTGGCTTTGGGAAAGGAGAAATGCCTCATTAAGTGAGAGAATATTTTAGACCAGTTCCTAAAAGGGAAAACGAGGCAACTTTTGGTCAGCCTTCTAGTTCTACAATAAACAAATGCAGAGTACCCACCTCCCTTTCCGTGAAGGATTTCCCCCAGCTGTCTCCTTAATTTAATTGATAACAGTCTACTGTTCGGGTCTCTTTTTCATTACTGAATTATTTCAAATTCTCTTTTTCAATCACTGTTTGGATTTTATCTGATTTCTTTGTTAAATAACAATTCACTTATATTTGAAGGTGATCTATCCAGCAAATTCACAACTAACAATCAGGAAGCAATGAGGAAAGAGCTTCAGAGCACAGATCATACAGTAAAGGTTATGGAACCTTATGATCTCAGATCCTATTTGTTCTTATTTTAGACAAATTTCTAGCAAGAGAACAGAAAGAAGCTTGCTGGCAATATGCCTGCTGAGAGGAAGAAGTGTTTAAAGGAAAAATATTAATGTGTTGTGAGGTTTATAACATGTAGAAGTAAAATGTATCACATAACTAGCACAAAGGCAGGCAGAAGAGAAATGGCAGGATACTGTTGTAAGGTTCTAATGCTATATGTCAAATGGCATAATGTCACCTTAAGAAAGACTGTAATGAACTAAGGATGTGTACTCTAAACCCTAAAGCAACCTCCTAAATAACACAAAGAGCTATCGTTTAAAAGCCTATAGAGATTAAATGAAATTGTTACAAAAAAAAAAACCCAAAAAACCAAAAACTATTAATCCAAAAGAAGGCATAAAAAGGAAGGAAACAATTAGATAAAACAAATAGAGAACAAATAACAAGATGGCAGATTTAAACCCAACTATATTGGTTAATGTTCATTAATTATTAATTATCAAAATACCTTAATTAAAAGGCAAAGATTGTCAAAAGGAAGACTCAGATATATGCTGCCTACAAGAAAAACATTTAAATATGAAAATACAAATAAGGTAAAGGTAAAAGGATGGAAAAAGATGTTCTAGTTAATGCTAACTAAAATAAATCTGGAGTGACTATATTGATATCTGACAAAGTAGGTTACATAGCTAAAAACATTGCTAGGAGAAAGGATGGCCATTTCATAATGATAAAGTGTCAGTTCATCAAGAGGACATAATAGTACTAACCATATGTGTTCCCAATAACAGAGCTTTAAAATAGTTTAAGCAAAAACTGAAGAACTGTAAGGTGAAATAGATAAATTAATAATTATAGTTGGATATTTAAATATCACTATTTCACCACAAAAAGGAGCAAGATCATGTCCTTTGCAAGGACATGGTTGGAGCTGGAAGACATTATCCTCAGCAAACTAACCTAGGAACAGAAAAACAGACACTGAATGTTCTCACTTATAAGTAGGAGCTGAACAATGAGAACACATGGACACAGGGAAGAGAACAACACACACTGGGGCCTGTCGGGGGTGGGATTGGGGGAAGGAGAACATTAAGAAAAATAGCTAATACATGCTGGGCTTAAAACCTAGGTGATGGTTTGACAGGTGCAGCAACCCCCCATGGCACATGTTTACCTATGTAACAAACCTGCACATCCTGCACATGTAGCCAGCAACTTAAAATAAAAATAAAATACCCCACTTTCAACAATTAATACAAGTATACTGAAAATCAGTAAGGATATAGAAGACTTAAGCAATTCTACAAACCAACTCAACCTGACTTACATTTATGGAATACTCCACCCAACAATAGCAGAATACACATTCTTTTTTCTTTTTTTAATATATGTATATATAGATTTTATTGTACTTTAGGTTCTGGGGTACACCTGCAGATCATGCAGGATTATTGCGTAGGTACATACATGGCAATGCAGTTTGCTGCCTCCATCCTCCCGTCACCTATATCTGGCATTTCTCCCCATGTTATCCCTCCCAAACCTCCCTACCCCTCACTGTCCCTCCCCTAGTCCCCTGCAACAGACCCCAGAGTGTGATGCTTCCCTCCCTGTGTCCATGTGTTCTCGTTCAACACCCACCTATGAGTGAGGACATGTGGTGTTTGATTTTCTGTTCTTGTGTCAGTTTTCTGAGAATGATGGCTTCCACATTCACCCATATCCCTAAAAAGGACATGAACTCAAACATTTTTTATGGCTGCATAGTATTCCATGGTGTATATGTGTCATATTTTCCTCTTCCAGTCTATCATCAATGGGCATTTGGACTGGTTCCAGTTCTTTGCTATTGAACATACATATGCATATGTCTTTATAATAGAATGATTTATGAACATATGTGTGCATGTGTCTTTTTAATAGAATGATTTATAATCCTTTGGATATATACCCAATAATGGGATTGAACATACATGTGCATGTGTCTTTATAATAGAATGATTTATAAGCCTTTGGATACATACCCAGTAATGGGATTGCTGGGTCAAATGGAATTTCTATTTCTAGGTCCTTGAGGAATTGCCACACTGTCTTCCACAATGGATGAACTAATTTACACTCCCACCAACAGTGTAAAAGTGTTCCTATTTCTCCACATCCTCTCCAGCATCTGTTGTCTCGAGATTTTTTAATGATTGCCACTCTAAGTGGCATGAGATGGTATCTCAATGTGGTTTTGATTTGCATTTCTCTAATGACCAGTGATGATGAGCAATTTTGCATGTTTGTTGACTTCATATATGTTTTCTTTTGAACAGTGTCTGTTCATGTCCTTTGCCTGCTTTTGAATGGGTTTGTTTGTTTTTTTTTCTTGTAAATCGGTTGCCGATTCACTCTAATCATTGTTTCCTTTGCTGTGCAGAAGCTGTGGAGTTTAATTAGGTCCCATTTGTCTATTTTGGCTTTTGTTGCCAATGCTTTTGGTGTTTTAGTCATGAAGTCCTTGCCTGTGCCTATGTCCTGAATGATATTGCCTTAGGTTTTCTTCTAGGGTTTTTATGGTCTTAGGTCTTATGTTTAAGTCTTCAATGCATCTTGGAGTTAATTTTAGTGTAAGGTGTCAGGAAGGGGTCTAGTTTCTGTTTTCTACACATGACTAACCAGTTTTCCCAACACCATTTATTAAACAGGGAATCCTTTCCCCATTGCTTGTTTTTGTCAGGTTTGTCAAAGATCAGATGGTTGTAGATGTGTGGTATTGCCTCTGAGGCCTCTGTTCTGTTCCATTGGTCTAGATCTCTGTTTAGGTAACAGTACTGTGCTGGTTTGATTACTGTAGCCTTGTAGTGTAGTTTGAAGTCAGGTAGCGTGATGCCTCTAGTTTTGTTCTTTTTGCTTAGGATTGTCTTGGCTATGTGGGCTCTCTTTCAGTTCCATATGAAGTTTAAGGTGGTTTTTTCCAGTTCTGTGAAGGGGGTCATTGGTAGTTTGATGGGGATAGCATTGAATCTATAAATTCCTTTGGGCAGTATGGCCATTTTCACAATACTGATTCTTCCTAATCATGAGCATGGAATGTTTTTCCATCAGTTTGTGTCCTCTCTTATTTCCTTGAGCAGTGGTTTGTAGTTCTCCTTGAAGAGGTCCTTTACATCCTTTGTTAGTTATATTCCTAGGTATTTTATTCTCTTTGTAGCAATTGTGAATGACAGTTTCTTCTTGATTTGGCCCTCTGTTAGTCTGTTATTGGTGTATAGGAATGCTTGTGATTTCTGCATATTGATTTTCTATCCTGAGACTTTGCTGAAGTTGCTTATCAGTTTAAGGAGATTTTGGGCTGATGCCATCTGCAAACAGAGACAATTTGACTTCCTCCTTTCCTACTTGAATACTCTTTCTTTTTCTTGCCTGATTATTCTGGCTAGAACTTCCAATGCTATATGGAATAGGAGTGGTGAGAGAGGACATCCTTGTCTAGTGCCAGATTTCAAAGGGAATGCTTCCAGTTTTTGCCCATTTAGTATGATATTGGCTGTGGGTTTGTCGTAAAGAGCTTTTATTATTTTGACATATATTCCATCGATACCCAGTTTATTGAGAGC